TACCATATAGATCTTTAGATTTTTAATTTCACCCCTGTGACTTCTTTAAAGGAGGTCAAATTTAGCATATATTTTTTAATTTTTATAAGTAAGTAAATAAGATGTTGATTTTATTTGTTTCTTTCTGTCCCAGAAGAGAGATGTAGTGTTTTCTTGCGCAAAGCTGATCGCCCTGATTTTGGAATGTGCACGTGCACGCTCTCTGCGCACGAAGTTTTATATCAAATTCGCTCATCTATATAGTTATATTTCCTCTTTTTTTAATACTCGTCGACAGAAGTGTTGCAGGAAGCGTGATAACGATAATGAACGCCAGAGTATACGGACAAAGCTGACAAGCTCCATATTTATATTTTCATCATATGTTTCTTTTGATGTGAAAATATACCGGAAGTAAGATAGAATTTCATGGGTTCGTGGCCTCGAGCTCGGCAGTCACTCCTAAATCTCACAATAAAATAGCCGGATGTTGCCTCGAAGTCTACCGGAAACATGAGGAATCTACGAAACAGGTGGATTTTTTTTTTCTTTGCCTTCATTAAATATGGATGGCGAAATGAATCCATGCCTCTCAACATTATATATTACTAGTATCGGGGGTTCCAAAAATTAGATAGAGCAAGCCGAAGCATTTAATATATGAAAAAAATTGCCAAACCTTATTACTAACCTAAACTTGAAGTAACTATGCATCAGCATTAATAGTACTAATATAATAATCATTAATCGCTTAGTTCATATTTCCATGTTATAAAAAACCACAAGTGACAAAACAAAGTGCTCGATGATCTATATTTTTAAATTATGCTGAGCTATATTATTCTTATAACCTTTAGATCTTTAGTTAAACCTGTAGTTGATAGTGTAGTATATTCTAACAAAATCTGAAACTTACACTATTTCTTCAGCAATATCTACTGTCACAGGAGTAATTTTTTTTTTATAGGGGACATGCTCCCCGTACTTTTTTCAATGATAGAATACCCTCACGCTACAGAAACTGACCCCCCTACTTTTGAAAACAAAGTTTCATCACTGCTCACTCGCTGTAATTCATATCCACTTGAATAAACAAATATGAAAAACAAAACACAAGCTTTAGCAAATACCATAGCAAAGGATACAACTACCGTATATTAAGTAATACTACTTACCTTCTGTGAGGATGCGCAAGGCAGCAAGAAAAGATACCATTGGAATCATTTTTCTCAGTGTGATCTTCATACCTACAGAAATAAAGACATTGTGTTCATTTCATACATGAACTTTCGCCAAACGTTTTTTTTTTTTCCCTGACTTAACAATGCTTACAGGAATAAAGACACGACCATCATTTCATATGTTAACTTTAGCCACGGATTTAACAAATTCTTCTGAATATCCACGCATATAAACATCTAAATTACAGAGTTTCGTGTTATTAGATTGTAAATGTACGTGCATCGTCCGATGTTTTTTTACTCTATTGGCTGATTCGTCATTGCGTCAGATGTTTAACAGCCAATGAAACCCGTTATTATGAATGCAAGGATGAAAATTATTATGGATGATTTGGAAGACGTTGTAAGGATCCAAAGGTAAATGACCAAGATGAATATGGAAAACGATGCTTACGAATTTGGAGGAAATAATATCTTCCGGTGTTAAAAAATATTTACGGAATTGTGAATCGGTGAAAGAGAGAGAAGAATGGATACGGATGCCAGGGTATACTGACAGTCATAAAATAAAGGCTTTACTTCAGTGATGTTAAAGTGAACAAACTGCTAAGTGAAATGAAACACGACGTATTCTAATGAATCAGATCAGTATAACATTCTATAAAGCATTTATACCCTCCCTTTTTTCGTCATACATCAAAATTCTCAAAACAGGTGTTACTAAAAGGTAGTGAGAAACGGTTATTTACCTTAGTTTTATGGCAAAAGCCTATAAGTTTTTACCTTAGTTTTATGGCAAAAGCCTATAAGTTTTTAACATGCCATTGAAAATGTACCGAGTGACATTTAGATTAATTCTTTCTTATTATAAATTAAAATTATTTAAAACAATATGTAGATTCCAGTGTATATATTAGCGGTACAATAAGAATTCATGTGACTTTTATTTTTTGTTAATTATTTTGAGCGTCTCCTACTTAAGTTTTATCAGTTCGATATCTTATTGACTTGTTATCCTAATCACATTTACGTAACAAACCATTCTCTTCAAACTGGGAGGTTAGGGCGCTCGACTCGCAATCTGCGGGTCGCGGGTTCGAATCTTCGTCACACCAAACATGTTCGCCCTTTCAGCCGTGGGGATGTTATTTCGTGACACTCCTTTGCTTCTTGGTGATTGTGGGACCTTTATTTCATCTGTCTCGAAGGTCCATTTTTACATCAGACATCTATCTTTCATCGCAATGTTCTGTGTATTTGTATTCATATTTGGCTTTTGTCTGATACATTGCAAGATAGACAGGTTTTTCTTGCTCACTCTGGACAGCCATTCACATTCACAGTTTATCATTTTAAGTGGATATTATATATATGCTGGTCCACTTGTCACTCCCTTTCTCCATATTGTTTGACTCATCCTTATCTAAATTATTTTTTATTACCTGACTTTCAAGGTTGTTTTTCGTACTTGCTGGATACAGGGTGGTTTTGTCAACAACTTTCAGTTTTTTAACTTGCAATTCTCCTTTTTTTGTTTCAGTTCGTATTAACCTCTTCTGAGCCTTTCTATTCAGTCATCCTCCTCATCCGTTTCCTCTTCCAGACTTATACTTCTGTTTAGTTCTCATTGCTCTTGCTTATCCTTCTTTCAAACCTTTGCCACCTGTTTTCTGAATCACTTGTACTTTAAGATATATTTTTTTCACCCTTTTGCTTGTGGGAGACATTGTTCTGATATTTATGCCATGAATGCCTAAGTCTTTACCATGAGGACAAGTTGATTTTATTTCCAGACCACTCCTTCCACCCCTAGACTTGGGCTGTCAATACCTCTTTATTTATCATTATAAATCGGCCCGGTATGGCCAGGTGGTTAGGACGTTCGACTCGCAATCTGCAGGTTCGAATCTCCGTCACACCAAACATGTTCGCCCTTTCAGCCGTGGGGGCGTTATTTCGTGAGGGTCAATCCCAGTATTCGTTGGTAAAAGAGTAGCCCAAGAGTTGACGGTGAGTGGTGATGACTATCTGCCTTCCCTCTAGTCTTACAGTGCTAAATTAGGGACGGCTAGCGCAAATAGCTCTCGTGTAGCTTTGCGCGAAATTCAAAACAAACAAACAAACTCTTCAAACTGTGGGAAGTCCTGTAACTTACGATGCTAAGTTGTTTCATAATTCGTAAATAAAAATCATCACGATGCCAAATATTATTGTAATTGTTTTTTACAATAAATAACTGTAATATTTTATTTTATTTTAACAACAGAAAACGGGATTTAGCATCTTCGTTGTACTTAACCAGGAGACATTGTTATTGGACTACTAAAGTTTATTGTCGTGCTTGAAAATCTGCAACACTTTAATCATTTTTACAACTCCAATTATCTTAAAACGTTTCTTACATACGTATTCTAAGATCGTACAACAATAACAAATTTAGGGTTTTCTAGAATTAGGAAGTCATCAACGCCTTATTTTCTTCTTTAATTATTTGCTCGGCTTCCACCCCCTGGGCTCAGCGGAAAGTCCGAGGGCTTATAATGCTGAATATCATGTTTCTATACCGCAGTAGGCAAAGCGCAAATAGCCCATAGTGTATCTTGGTGCTTAATAACAAAAACCAATCCTCGGCTGGGTATTGAACTGATGCCTCCTTTTCACCTCACTCTGCAAACTGAGCTAAACGGTTGAATCAATATTATAGAACTTTTTAACAGTTCAAATGACTGCATTCTTCTCTCCTCGCAAACAAGGCCTTATCTAACAGTCAAGAAAGACCACATGTTGGGCATCAGTTTTCTGTGGTAATCCAATTTTTGCGTCTTCCATCGAAAATTCTCTGACAGATAAGTATCAGGCAGACTTTTTATTGTCGTGGCCTAATAGGTAAAGTGCTGCGTTGCTGATCGAATGTTCCAAGGTTCGAGGCGTGATGCCAGAACATACTTCGCACTTGCGTCTGTAGGTGCATTATGAAAGTGACAGTAAATTCCGTTATTCGCCTTAAAGAATCGGGCAAAGCCCTCGAGGCGACGAGTGCTGCAGATTGGCTACTGTTACTGTGATCAGTAGTAGTTCAAAATTGTAATACGTACGCATGTGGAACTCGAAGTCCTGGACTTGGCTATGTGTGTCGCCTTTCAGGTTGAAAGTTATAACTCTCTTATTATGTCAGGTTTATCTGTATTTTCACATAACTTTTTTTCTTTCTTTCGGGTTCTTACTTTCTTTGCATGTAGAAAAAAATCATAATGGTTTACAACTAAGTAAAATATTAAAGTCATAAAATGCCCCAATGAACAGGTTAAATTGCATGTAAGGTTTCTGTTTTTTTATGTTTATTTTAGCAGTTTTAAAGTTTTAGGTAGGTACTTTAAAATCGATGTTTTTCGGGGTTTTCGTTTCTAATAGCGTAATGAGTACACTTATATATCGTATATTCTCTGCACACTAAACTCCAGGGGTCATATTAAGGGTGAGGCAGAAGGAACAGCTACACCAGGGCCCGATCACTTGGGGCTCCCAACGAAAAAAAATTTGAAATTTTTATGCATTGTATACACTTGTATTTATCGGGAGGGGCAAATGCTATTCTACTGCCCCAGGCCCCATCTACCTAAATCCACCCCTTCTCATTTCACTTAATAGCAGATTTGTTTGTTTGTTTGTAATTAAGCACAAAGCTACACAATGGGCTATCTGTGCTCTGCCCACCACGGGTAATGAAAACCGGATTCTAGTGTTGTAAGTCTGCAGACAAACCGCTGTGCCACTGGGGGCTAATAACAGGTACAAGACACAGTTCTATTTATGTCAAAGCTTTGTAAGAGCAGCTAATAATTTATAAGAAATTACAAAAACAAACTTACCAGTAACGGACGACACTCGGGAAAGTGGAAACGTTAGTGTAAATTAAACTGAGTTACCATTCCTGTGTCTGTTGGAAAAACAACATCGATTTCCTTTTTCCTTTTTTGTATCGTGTTTTCTCGGTGTTAAATTAAACTGAGTTACCATTCCTGTGTCTGTTGGAAAAGCAACAACATCGATTTCCTTTTTCCTTTTTCGTATCGTGTTTTCTCGGTGTTTATCGGTTAAAACCGAAAACAAGAAGCCTAACTATATGCCAACAGAATATAAACCTTACTCGAAAAACTTCCACGTTTATGCAACACGAAAACGCAACGCCGTAATATCATATTGACTGGATGAATGCACAAACGAGTTTCTGACGGTCTACAACTACCTTCCGGATATATATCTGTTACATTGAGCTAAATTTGAAGTTTGTTGACTACCCTCCGAATATATATCTGTTACATTGAGCTAAATTTGAAGTTTGTTGAGTACCTTCTGGATATATATCTGTTACATTGAGCTAAATTTGAAGTTTGTTGACTACCCTCCGGATATATATATCTGTTACATTGAGCTAAAGTTGAAGTTTGTTGAGTACCTTCTGGATATATTTCTGTTACATTGAGCTAAATTTGAAGTTTGTTGAGTACCTTCTGGATATATTTCTGTTACATTGAGCTAAATTTGAAGTTTGTTGGCTACCTTCCTGGTATATATCTGTTACATTGAGCTAAATTTGAAGTTTGTTGGCTACCTTCCGGATATATTTCTGTTACATTGAGCTAAATTTGAAGTTCGTTGACTACCTTCTTGGTTAGTAGGAATCTTTGGTACAATTAGTATTGAAAATAACTTTTTAAATGTTATTTCAAGTTCAACAGAAAACTGAACATGTTAATTTCAGTATATTAAATATCACGTGATAACAACAACAAAAAAAAACAACAAATTACTGCTCACTCTGAACCACCTTTTGTTGTTTTGGGTTACCATGAAAATAATATCTTTTTCTGTTATTTTGAGAACCATATTTCCAGTGGCCCAGTGGTAAGTCAGCAGGCTTACGTTGCTAAAAATGTGGTTTCGATTCCCATTGTGGGTAGAGCACAGATAGTCTATTACATAGCTTTCTGCTCTACAATAACCAAACTCCGGGGGTGTAAAAAGTACTAGAATAAGTTACTCAAGTTCAAGTAAGAGTATCCGTCCTGAAATTTACTTAAGTTTGAGTAAAAAAAGTATCTACCGAATAAGTACTCGAGTAACAAAAGTAAAAAGTACACTCATCTCCAGTTCTCTCAAACCCTACATGAGAAACAAAACCCTGTATAGAAAATATTTACCAAACTATATAAATATAATGAATAAAAACCTTATAACCTTTCGAAAGCGCTCGGGTTATAGGGTTTTTATTAATTTCTGTCAAGACTTTTTGAACCTACATGCTTTTCTAACATCATGTATATAAATATAATAGTACAGTCTGTTGTCTGTCCATGTAATTACTTCACCCCCTGTGGATAGATCTACACCAAAATTGGTATAGAGGTTCAATAGGTGTCTGTCCATGTAACTATTTCGCCCCCTGTGGATATATCTTCACCAAAATTGGTGTAGAGGTTCAATAGGTGTCTGTCCATGTAACTATTTCGCCCCTGTGGATATATCTTCACCAAAATTAGTGTAGAGGTTCAATAGGTGAATGGGAAGATACACACAAACTTGCCGTTTCACATTTTGCGTTTTGCGGTTTTTACGGGCGTTTTTGCGTTTGTTACCACTACTTCGCCCACTGTAGATGGATCTTCACCAAATTTGGCATGAAGGTTTGTTTGGTTCATGTGGAGATACATGCAAGTATGGGGTTTCACATTTTGCAGTTTTTATGGGTGTTTTTGCGTTTTTTACAATTACAGGTAAGGGGAGAAACTTTTTATGTCCTAAGATAACCTTTCATTAATCATGAATTTACATAATTTCCATCCAGGGGATGGGTACTCCAGCTAGTTTTAAATAAACTTCGAGAATTTATTGGTTTTACTACATTTATTGTTTCTTGAGTATATAACACCATGTATTTGCAGTATTTCATCAAATACAAATGCAGAAATGAATATATATTTACACCATTTAGAGGAATAATTAGTCGATATATCAAATGAAAGTATTTTATATATTATAATCTCTAAAATGAGGTATGAAATTAGTTATACAAATAAATGTATTCATTATTTGAGATATGAAATACACCCAATGGCTTACAGATCTTAAGAAGTCTTAAATTATCATCGTGCTTATCATATTAAATATGAGAGTAATTGCTATTGTTTTTTGCTACATCTCACCTGACCCTCTGTATCATTAGGGGAAAGGACCTTGCTGTCTTGACCTTAATCCTTAAACATCAAACCATTTCCCCTCCAATTAACATATTATGTTTTCACAAGTAACCAGTCCGGTACTCGGAAATCTCTAGTTAAGCCTTTTCTGACATCTTGAATTTACAGCATATTAAAGATTTGGGTCTTAAAGTGTTGTCTTTATTTGCTTACGCTTTAATGGTTTTGAACTTTATCATAATAAAGTTTAGTAACCATCAGTTAAAATTCTTTGTTTTATTTTTCTATATATTTATTATTATCATTATTTGTAGTACTAACTACAAATGCGTAAATGCATATCCTGCGTGTACTGAACGCTTCCGAATAAATCTTAATTTGAAATTCGAAACTGTAAAATCATTTCTCTTGTCACGTACAATTCCAAACAAGTAAATAGTAAGATTTTTTAATGCTTAAATATTACAAAACAATAACACAGATTTTTAAAACACAAAATCGGTATCATTAGTCACTCCGAACAGCAGAGTAAAGCAAGATATAATGGGATGTTTTTTTCTTCTCATCTTTTCTGTCTGACAAAGAAGTAACACTAAAACAAGATATTAGTTGTTTACCTACGGTCATGTGTCTGATAAGGAAGGAAGACAAAACAAGATTTTAATTGTTTATTTACGGCCATGTGTCTAACAAAGAAGGAAGGCTAAAACAAGTAATTAGCTGTTTATTTACGGCCATGTGTTCAACAAAGAAGGAAGGCTAAAACAATATATCAATTGTTTATTTACGGTCATGTGTCCAACAAAGAAGGAAGGCTAAAACAATATATCAATTGTTTATTTACGGTCATGTATCCAACAAAGAAGGAAGGCTAAAACAAGATATTAATTGTTTATTTACGGCCATGTGTCCAACAAAGAAGGAAGACTAAAACAATATATAAATTGTTTATTTACGGTCATATGTCCAACAAAGAAAGAAGGCTAAAACAATATATCAATTGTTTACTTACGGTCATGTGTCCAACAAAGGAGGGCTAAAAGAAGATATTAGTTGTTTACCTACGGTCATGTGTCCAACAAAAGAGGAAGGCTAACACAAGATATTAATTGTTTATTTACAGTCACGTGTCAGTAGTTATCCCGGGAATAACGCAAACACCGTCAGAGGGCGCTACACGTGTGTCGACCTGAGGCAATAGAAAGGGGCGATGATGTCACCAAAGATGGATGCGTTGCTAAGCCGCCATTATAGATGAACATGACAATGGAACATCAGATAAGATTAGGCAATAGTTCCATAAAGTAGAACCAGAGGGCACTGGCGTCATGAAATGATTTTACGAGGAGGGTGCGTTTCTCACTGCCCACCTTTGTAAAATACATGTAATACAAATAAATATATAAGTTAAAACAAAAACATAATTTTTGACAGGACGATTTAAATATAAATGTTCAGAAATTATAATTAAATATAGAACTAATGAATTAGCGTTTTAAATCGATTGTTTTAAATCTAGCTATGTTGACATAGGTTGATCCACTTCTTGGACGTCATTGTTTCTGACGTCATGTCCACTTTCATGGCAATATAATTCAAACCTTACATTTAGTGGCGTACATTTGACAAAGATGTTTCTATACTTCTGTAGGACAGCATGCAGGTTTCAACATGTCTCATCTTATATTTAACTTATTTGTGTTTGTATAAGACGATAATGTTACTAACACAATTAACTTACTGCTGGAAAGTTTTCACCATGTCTATTGTTTTTGTAATTATTGATCAAGTCAGCCAATTGCGTTTGTATGATTTAATACACAATTAACATATACTGATTGTAATTTCTATATTTAAACATACTTTTACCTCCTGAAAAGGACACGAAAATTCTTATTTCAATGAGACAACTATTCTATACATATTATTTGAATGATGTAGTGTGAAACACTTATCGTCCTGAAAAATGATGCTTATTTAAATATCATGGAATAATCTAAAACTTACTCTTTCACTTATTTACTTTTATATTTTATCATCTCTAGTAATTAATTTTGTTATGACTAAATATATCAAATGAATAACTTACAGTTTATTCATTCATTTTCTATCAAAAGTTCATAAAACATTGAAACTGTTTAACGTTAAGACTCTGTTAGGAAATATCACAGACACATATAATCTAAACACTGACATCAAGCTAGATAAACTTTGAGTATTAGGAAATACAAAGGTCGTCACGTGGTCACATTTTACTAAAAAGAGACGAGGCTATTTATTATTCAAGACCACGGACCAGCTCGATAATCTTTGGTTTTAGAAAATATAGAGGACAGGACGTCAAGTTTAGAAGAGCTTTTCACCTGTTGTGTTCACTAAAACAGATAACACTTTCATTTGAATGTAGAACACTCTATCTGACTTATGGTTTTACTGAAAGAAGAGGGTGATCAATATAGAGAGAAAATGTTATTAAAGCAAAAGTTGAACAAATCAATTATAATACATTGTCGTTATCTATGTATTTACATTATATTTAATATTGAAAATAAACTGTTCAAACTTTACATATATTCTCTACATAAATATAATGTTTACCATACTTTAATTACAGTTTATGTATGTCACTGAAATTTAACAGTCAGTAAACATAGTTCTTTCAATTTATATAGGATACAAAACATTAAA